TTATCAGTTATGTCAATATAATAATTTGATTTTTTTTCCATGGTTTCTATTTTTTGGAAGGAAAGAATCAGAACTATTGTAGGCCATTTGTTGTCATTTTTGAAATTCTAACCAAATGAAATGCTTAGTTATTCTAAAAACTCATTAGATTTAATGATTTACTTTTTTGCAATTCAACATTCACTCTAGATCCTAAAAATTGTGTTCCTCGGTCTCCCGAGCCATCACGTCGCGTCTGAGAGTCTTTATCAGCTTAACCACCTCGTTTATGTGCCTCGAGTCCTTGGACCGGAAAGAGACCTCCTTCAGGGAAACGACACTCTGATGGGTGGGTCCGGGCAGATTAAATACGATACACACGTAACAGCTTCGGTTCGTGTCTTGCTGGCTTGTGGAAGTTTTCATAGTGGACACGTGGAAAGGGACCATGCAGCCATAGATGGAAATCAAGATGGACTCGTTTTTCTGGTCGACCTGGATCGTCACCATATCTCGGATAAGCATAAGCGGGACCTCATTCACGCTCTTGTATGCAATCCGAGCCGCGGCCCGCCCGTTCACGTTACCCGACTCAACTCCGGTAAGGCGCCGGGCATTCTCCTCGTTTTTTCGGCGGGCAAGTTTTGCCTGCTGCTGCTTCCGGAGCTCCTCCTTGGACAGCTCACCATTGTCGGATCTGAGGGTTGCTTTGGAGGACATGAATTCTTTTTCTTCAGCATTGCTATCAGACATTGGTTTCTTTCTCAGCGTCTCATCTACATCGTCCTTTTCATTGAAGGAGTACGCGATGTCCTTAAACAATTTCGAGCTGGCTGACGTGGCAACATCACGTCCACTGTCCGTCACGAGAACCGTATCGGTGAGCAGCGTCGAGAAATTCTGGGCTTTCGGGCCTTTTTTCGTCTTTGTCTGTAGATTCTGAAAACCAATCGAAACATTAAGAGCCATCCCCGCTTTCAGCACTTTCTCATTTTCCGCATCAAGACTCAGCCCAGACTCACGAAACTCAAGACCGATGCCTGTCCCGGCAGATTTTGTCAGGTTAGGGAGAAAATCAGGGGCATCGATTTTCACCACAGAGAGAGCAGCCTCGTAGACCACACGGGCTTTTTTCCCTGGCCTCATCGCAAGAATAGCAGCCTCATGGGCCCGAAGAAGGACTCTGTAGGGTTTAGGGTTTAGGGTTCTTTAGTGGCCTCTAGCAAAGACTCTTTCTTTTGGCTGCACAGAAAATGGATTTGCTTGTCCCCAAAAACCATGATTGTCTCGGGGAACACATAACCGAGCAGCCATTTGTTGAGGGAAGAGGATTTCAAGTAGCGTAAATCTTCTGAAGGAGGCGATGTGGCCACAACAAGGTAATTTGACGAACCCCATAGCACGTTTTTGTGTTGGCGCTAGTTTGCATAGAGAGCCTGCTGCCTCTTGGTGAAGGTATTCAAGTCAATGGTATACGCACTGCGATTTGAGTTGCATTTTTCAGCCATTGCACCTGTTTTGGGTTGTTTAATCGAGTCATTAGTTATATGAACAGACGAAATAGAGAATGAAAATAGAATCAGCAACATAGTTATTACTCGTTCTGCATAATAAATGTAAGATATAAACTCAGTTAACAAATTGCAATCAACATATTATTTTCCTCACATATCATTGTTCCATTGCCTTATGTTTCAGATCAAACAAATAGGACTTCCATGGATATGCCAAAAACAATTTCAAGGCATCATCGACATACAAAAAAAGGTATTTAAAGGGATACATTCATGCACAGAAACATAATATATCGAATTTTCCAAAAATCTGTAGTTAACTTCTTCAAATTCAACATTCAGTAAAAATTAGGGTTCCATCAACTTAAACCAATAGCTACGTAACCATGAAAGCAATAACACATACTACCAAAATTCCAAAAAAAAAAAAAAAATTTAACGAAATTTAGGATTCAGTGTATCAATCAAATCTTCCTTCATTACCTTTGACAAAAAAAGGTTCTAATCGAAGACGTTCAGTAAAAATTAAGGTTCCATCACCAATGGCTAATCATAAAAGCAAAACATAGAATACAAAAATTCAAAAAAAAAAAAAGCCAAACGAAACGAAGACGCAATTCAGATTCAGGGTATCAATAAAAATAAAATATTCATTCATTACCTTGGACAAAAACTTTCTAATCGAAGAAGGTATCGGCAAAAAAACTGACAATCAATTGAATCAGAAATCA